TCATTGAACTTCACACGGCAGCAGAGGCAACCTTAGGCGGTTTAAACCCCCTTTTCATCTCAGCCGCCTTCTGGCCTCTCTCCTTTTCTTGAGCGTCAGGCCATTCCTTCTGCATCTTCATAGGTCTGCGAAAGCATGGTCCATCGCCACTTGCTCTTTCTCCACTCCTACCTTTGGACTCGCCTGATGACTCAATCGTATCTACAGCAGAGTAAGGATTTATGAGACTCTCTCTTAGGGACTGCTCCTCGCGCTGGGAAATGATGATAGTGAGGGAAAAGGGGGAAAAAAAAAAGAGAGAAAAAAGAAAAAAAGGCCTTTTTTTTCAACGGCGCCCCGTGCCGCACAGCCCCTCCGAGTTTTGCTTGTGGCGACCAAAAAAAAACTTTCTGCAAGGCTCGGGCCGTGTACTGGCGGTTTAAGGATTTTTCAGGTCATACCTGTAAAGCACCAACTGTGGGACTGAAAGGCATTGCAGTGCAGATTTGGGTCGCTCATCTGCCACATGAACTATTTTCTATCCTAGCCCGTTGCTAGTGGGACCACGGCCCTGAAGAACGTTTCTTTTAATTTTTTTCCCCAGCGCTTTTCAAAAGGGACATATATCATTGATTTTGAGTTTCTTTCACCCGTTCCGGTAGAGAAAGTAGTGTGGCATTGAGCTGCTTGGAGTGGGGCGAAAGATGGCCTACTTGTGTTTACCGGGATGGGACTCTGTCTATGGATAAGCCTTAATGACAGCCATCTTTTGCTGCCTGCTAGAGTACGAACAATAGTCCTGGATAGACTGGAAGATTAGAGCATGTTCTCCAATACAGCGTTGGTTTTTGTGTGTGGCAAAGCATACCACTTGATCATAGAAGACTTTGACTACGGAGCCGATGTAGTCCCAGCAGTCCCCCACATTTGTTTGTTCCAGTACAAGGTTGGAATCGTAACAATATCGGAATCTAGATATGATAGATCGTGCCTGGTCACAAGAAGACGGAGAAGAGGCAGTGAATTTAACAAAAATCGAGACGTCATCCACGACACGGAAGTCGGCCACCAACTTGCGTCAGAGCCAAGAGACGAGAGGAAGCAGGATTCGTTATACGCACAAAGCAAACAAGCAAGAGTCGGACTGGTAGTCTTGCCCATTGGAATGCCCACAAATTGTTTCAGAAGAGCACCAACGGCAACCACATAAGTATGGTCAAGCTCATAGGAYACAAACTTGACGACCTCCTCAAATCTAATAAGAGTCCAAGCATTTTCTMCATGTCCCTTGGTTAGTCTAGCAACCTTACCGTGCGATCGAACCAAGATGCCCGAAAAACCTTCCCCATACCAGTAGTCGGTAACCCATCGTACGACTTTCACAATAGAAGGATGCGGCAAGTTAGAGAACATTTCCTTGATATCAAAAGATACACCCATTATTCGTTCATCGTTCTTCAGATTCTTATTAATGGCCGCAATACCGGGAACAAAATCAGTAGTTCTCTTCAAATTGAAATGGAGTCGATCAGGAAGTCGCCTGAGCATCTTATTGAGCGCATATGCCAATTTTCTACTGCATGTCACTCCTCCCTCAGCAAACGTTGGACAAATAGGTCGCCAACGATTAATGTCCTTATGCTTTGGTATACAATACGCCTCTCCAAGATCCCCATGACTGTCTCATTTTCCAATACGATCGAACTTCGCCAATTTAAAGTCCGCCCGACATTCGGCCAGAACAACAGCCTTAGTACCCTCAAGATGAAGAAATGCGGGGTTACAGGTAAACAACTTGCTCATTCCACTACCATACACACAAGGACAGCATACAAAGGTATCACCAGGATTGTGGTCGATGGGGCAGAGAACCAGACCACGGAGTGGAGCAAGAAAAACCCGAATAGTTTCGTTGGTACAATGAGTGGTAGATTTTTGAAGTCAAGATTCTTTCAGCATTTGACTAAGCAAGAGCTTAGGACTCATCTCTCCTTCCCGCATTTCCGAGTAGCGAAACAATATCTGCGCACGCATGGAAAGCACAAAAAGACAAGGGTGATCACAATTAGGTAGTCTAAGACAGGAAGACACTATTGAGAAGTCCGTGTGAATTACCGCTAGGTGTTATCCTGCAGCCACTGCTTCTACCATCCTCACCGAGATAGAACGCCCGCTCATCATTATCATGGTATCTAGAATGAAAGTTGCCTCAAATACAACTATAATGACCGGGCATTGGTTTTTGATTCCGATGAAGACAGTGACTCAGTGACTGCAGTCCTGGACATACTTTGGTGGCAGTCCAAGGGATTACTTTGGTTTTTGGTCCAGACCAGGCCAGGCATTCCAAACCAACAGGAGAGACCTACACTACCCCATGCGTCCACGCTGGCCCCTTCCTTATTTGAATGTGCAGAAGTTCTGAGACTTTGACATATTTTCACTGCCCCCGCCCACCCCAAAAAGAGAAAACAAAGACTTTATTAAAACTCATTCTCACATTTTATTTTATTTTTAATCATAAAAGAACTTACTTTTGAGCATGAGATTTCGTTGGGATTTGAAAGTCATTGAAGTGCTTAAAGGGTAGATTGAATAATTTTTTGATAGCGAGCTCCTCACCAATAGAAAGGAGCCACCTCAGCGTCCAAAAATACAAAAAAAGAAAAAACGTTCATTGTTCCTAGTAAATTCGACAAACGAAAACAACATTTGACATGCAGCATCTGTTTGAAATATTCATATTCCTGAATTACTTAGGGCCGACTCAGAGATGATATCTGGAGGCCGTCGCCCTTTTTTTTCCCGGTG